TTTTTTCGTATTTTTGGTGGAGATGGGGTTTCACCACGTTGCCCAGGCTAGTCTCAAACTCTTGGGTTCAGGAGATCCACCCCATCGGCCTCCCAAGATGCTGGGATTGCGGATGTGAGCCACCATGCCTGGCCTCAAATTGACTCCTAGTGCTCATTTGGTATAAAGGATTCCTAACAGTTTGCAATGTAGTTTTCTTGTTTTTTTGTTTTTTATTTTTTTATTTTTTTAAGCTATGAGGTCTCACCTTATTGGTCAGGCTGGTCCCAAGCTCCTTTCCTCAAGCAATCCTCCCACCTTGGCCTCCCAAAGAGCCACCTGCCCAGTGATTTATCCTGTTTCTTAAGGAATATCTTTACCTTCTTAGACATTTTGGAATACCATTCTAGAAGTCAAATTCCAAGTGCAGTCATTTTTTTTTCCTAGTCCATTATAGTTAACCTTCTTGTTAGTGATCAAATACCGAAAGAGAAAAGCACAACCAGAAATTTTGGCTATTTGCTGCAAGACTAATAGTTTTAGCTCTTGGGTCTATACTAAGAACTTGAAATTTTTAAATTAGTATCTCTGCCTAGGATAAAAGTTTTTAATAAATGTGTAATGTGTTAAAGTTGAAAATCAACTTTAAATCCCTTTAATTTAGACTGGAGTGGGCGTGGGAAATTGCAAGTCTATTTCTACATATAAGGGATATATTATCCTACCCCACCACTACCTTTTTCTCAATTTCCATTTCTTTGTAGTCATTTTAATAAAAGCCATTTGGATTCTGAGAAGCACTAATTCCTAGTTGTGAGAGGTCTATGCAAGTAAGAGTGAATCATTAAGTGAAGCTCATTGAATAAAGTTCTCATTTCTCTCCAATAGACTATGCTAGCAAACTTACTTTTCTTGTGTTTAAATAATTTAATATCTCACTACGATAGTTTTTCACTAGAAGGGTGTGATGTGTTTTTTGTTGTTGTTGTTCTCAGAGTTGTCTTCTGAGATAATCATTACCAAGTCTTTGGTGGGGTTGTGTTTTTTTCATATGGTATGACAAAAATTATAACTCATAAGATTTAGGCATAATCTGGTTTTAAAACCTTTATTGAAACTGTTGTTTTTTAACTTAGCAGGCAGCCTAGGCCATGGCTGAAAAGAAGGGGTAAGTCCTTCATTGCATGATGATGTGTGCAGGTTTTCTGGAATTTCTGATTTTTATATTTGAATTCACATGTGTGATGTCACATCAATAACTTGTGTTTCTGAAATATCCTAACTAACTTGTTAATAAGGAAAGAAACCAGATTTGCTTAAATTGTTCAAGGCTGACATTCTGAAATTCTAAACTGGAAATAACTTGCCAGAGTATTGGAAAAGATTCTAATTACAAGGATCAGGCCTAAAATAGCTCCTTGGGAAAGAAATTTCCTTTTTGATGAAAACTTAAAAGATGGTTTTTGGTAATGTAAGCAGTTAAAAACATGACTTTAGAAAGACAGCTTAATGTGTGTTCAAGCAAACCTTTGTTTTGTTGCTGTTGCTGTTGCTTTTGCTTATGTTTGTAGAAGAGAGAGGAAGTCATTATACCAAAAAATAATATGTATATATAACTTTGAGTGAGGCTACTTATATCTTAGAATGGGTATCCTTGAACTATATCTACCCCACCATGGCTTAAAAAAATCAGTGGTGTATATTGAGAATGTCAGTCATGAGCTTAGTGTTTAAGTAACACATCCCACTTACGGTTGTTTGCATGATTAGTCTTGTGTATCTTGATATTCAACTTTGTTTTTGCTGTGCCAGTTCAAAAATAACTTTTCTGCTAAAAACTCTTAAAATTCATGACATCAGTTTTGTTTTGATCACCTGGTTTTATATAGTATTCCTGGGACCAAAAAATTTAAATATACTTTTTTAATACGGAACAGAAATTTGAAGCTGGAAAGATAGTGTTTATGGAAGATTTGTGTGCTTTTGTGTTTTAAAACCCATCAGGCTGCTGGTAAGGCAGTTTCTAGGGCTCACTTTTCGTCGTTACCTCTTGACTAGTGTAGCATGTGGTATGTTTTAAAATTCTTCATTTTCTGCTTCGTAATTCTAATAGCAACACTATATATGTAGACAAATAAGCCGAATTGTATATTTTAGTTGTTTGGTCTTAATCAAGCATAACTAAAGGGACCTTTCTTTGGGTACTTTTCTCAAGTTTAAATATAATATACTGGCCACATTTCATGTCTTTGAAAGTATACATTATTGTAAAGCAAGTACTCTGTCTATACCAGAGGGTGCTTTAACTGTAAAATACTTGAGAAACAATTCAGTCTTACCTGATCTCTGAAACATTTTGGCACAGTTCATCACTCCATTTTGTTACTTTCTTGAGAATAGTCCATTTTTTGTTTTTGTTATTATAATGTATGTTCTGGTCATTGGAAACAGAACAGCTCATAGTTGAGTGATGTAATATAATAACAGTAATATAACCTAGTAGCGATTTTGCTTCAAGGAATTTAATTAGATGGCAAAATCACTGCTGTTTGTTGATTACATTTGTAGGGCTTTTTTTTTTTGTCTTACTCAGTGACCATCACTACAAATGGCTTACGTTGAAGCACAGACAGACTAGAGCATTTGTTAATCCTCCTGCGTAATGCACTCGTGGGAAGTAGTGCTTGCTAGATGTTTGAAGATTTTATGATCCATCTGCTTGGGCTTGTTATTTGTAAAATAAACATTTAGTTTGAGTTGATGCAGTGAGTTTTTTGGGCTAGTAGTATCTAGGTCCCTACTCTACTGAAAATACAATCTTCACTATCTCCCTTTAAGTCAGAGGAGATGTAGTATTTAGAACACCTTGAGACATTACTTTGTACAATAGCTTGTTTTATGTTCATGAAGCTATCTTGTTCTCTGTTAAAGCTACTAATTGTCTCAGTGTAAGTTTTAAATAAACATGCTTCTTTAAAGCTGGTTTGTACCATGTGGTTTTTCTTCTTTAATTATGCACTGTTGGATATCATTGCCTTCTTCCCTCCCTCCCACCCCCTCATCCATCACTCCCTTCAGCTGAACATTTTCCAGTACTCTTCAAAGTTTAAACACTGCATTTATTTAAAAAAAAAAAAAAGGAATTAATTCTTATTGCTTAGACTTTTTATTAGCTAAATGAAGAGGCTCATACAGGTAGGGTACTTGTCGAAGCAGAATACTTTACTTCATCTCGCAGTGCTAATCCTGGGAAGTTGTCCCGTCTAGCTGCATATTCCCCAACATTGGCCAGCCCTGGTACCACACAGCAGCTCAGAGCACTGCGGTATATGCTCATGTCATGAGCATCATACCACTCGTCGGTCTTTTCATCATAGCACTCAACGTTAAAGGTGGTGGTAAAGCCGTTGAAGCCACCCACCACAAACAAGAGGTCGTCCACCACCTCGATGCCAAAATTGCTACGAGGATTAAACATAGTGGGGATTGTGCGCCAAGTGTTAGCCACTGGGCTATAGGCTTCTGCACTCCTAAGGCGATTCGCTCCATCAAAGCCACCTACCTGTGGATAGCAAAAGAAACACCGTTGGCTGCTAACCATTGATTCTGTTCACTGAGGAGGCCCTTCTTTGGGGTACCAGTGATTTCATAACTCCCTCTTCCATGAAAAAAAGCTCTTCAGATACTTCACAATAGTAGCATAAACCCATTTACTAATACAAAATCTAGGGGTAATATGTGCATGTATTTTTGTAGTACTAGATAAACTTACCGCATATACATGTTCTCCATAAGCAATCACGCCTATTCCACTCCTCCTGCTTCTCATGGGTGCTATGACCGTCCACTGATTACTTTCAGTGTTGTACACTTCTGCTGTAAACAGGCACTCGTTTCCATTAAACCCACCACATATGTAGACCTGTGTGAAGAGTTCCAAGATTATTAAAATTTCCACCTCTAGGGAATAGAAAGAAAGGATATGTGTGTGGTGGTAGGGGACACTTAATCCCAGTCTGTACAATCTCAATTTACTTTTTTAGAGACGGAATCTTGCTCTGTCGCCCAGGCTGGAGTGCAGTGGTGCGATCTCAGCTCACTGCAACCTCCACCTCCTGGATTCTAACAAGTCTGCCTCAGCCTCCTGAGTAGCTGGGACTACAGTCACATACCACCACATCCGGCCAATTTTTTTGTATTTTAGTAGAGATGGGGTTTCACCATGTTGCCCAGGCTGGTCTCGAACTCCTGAGCTCAGGTAATCCACCCACCTTGGCCTCCCAGAGTGCTAGGATTACTGGCATGAGCCACCATGTCTGGCCTATTTTTTAGTTTTTGAGGTGGAGTCTGTTGCCTGAGCTGGAGTGCAGTGGAGCTATCTTGGCTCACTTAAACCTCTGCCTCCTGAGTAGCTGGAATTACAGGTGTGTGCCACCACGCCTGGCTAATTTTTGTATTTTTAGTAGAGACAGGGTTTCACCATGTTGGCCAGGCTGGTCTCGAACTCCTGACCTCAGGTGGTTCCCCCACCTTGGCCTCCCAAAGTGTTGGGATTACAGGCATGAGACACTGGGCCCGGCCGCATTACTTTTTAATAAGCAAAATAAGACAGTTGCAGCTGGGTGACTTAGTTGAAGGAAGAATGAGTACTGCAAAAGGAATACTGCCACTTCATCTTCCACCCACCCCAAAAAAGAACATCATTTCTGGGCTTGTACTTTGCACCCTCCCACCTGGGTCCTTTACCTTCCCATAGAGCGTTGTGGCACTTGCATCGCTCCTCTGTTCGTGCATGGGAGCGATGAGTGTCCATTGATTGGTCTCTGGTTCATAACGTTCAGCAGTGTTTAGACGCACGTAGCCATCAAATCCTCCCATGGCATAAATAAAATTGCTGAGGACTGTCACACTGACATAGCAACGTCTGGAGTGCATTGGGGCTACCTGATGCCAAGTTTTCTTGACTGGGTCAAAACGTTTAACGCTATTGAAATAGTCTACACTATCAAACCCCCCAATGATATACACATAGCCTTTCAAATAGGCTGCCCCATGGTAGGCACGGGGACTCTCTTCCTCACAAGTAACGTTCACCCATCTGTCTGCCCGAGCGTCATATGCCTCAATGGCATTGGTGGGGCTTCCACCACTCCAGCCACCAATTGCAAAGAGGATGGCATAGGGCAAGCGGGGTCTGGTGAGTGGGTTGGTGAAATCAGAATTAGAGGGTCCATTCATGTTGAGGTCATACATGGCTTTTAGGGCATTAATGATGACTGGTTTGCATTCCTCACTGTCTTTGACATAGTCATTCATCTTAACGTTGTTCATGAAGTATTCAGCATGCATTAGGGCCAGGCGAACCTAAGAAGCAAACGCAGAAAGTCATTCAGGTGAGGTGAGGGTGCCAGGAAATCCCATATCCTTAACCCCCATTTTATAGTCTGCCTTTGAATTGCTGGAAATATTTTGGTTTGTTTTTGAAATGTATAAGTCACAGTTTAAATAGTCGATTTTGAGGCTCGCACCATAATCCCAGGACTTTGTGAGGTCGAAGCAGCAGATTGCTTGAGGCCAGGAGTTTGAGACCAGCCTGGTACCATACCAAGACCCTGTCTCTACTAAAAATACAGAAGTTGGGGCCAGGCAGGGTGGCTAACACCTGTAATCCCAGCACTTTGGGGGGCCGAGACGGGCAGATCACCTGTGGTCAGGAGTTTTGAGACCAGCCTGGCCAACATACTGAAACTCCATCTCTATTAAAAATACAAAAATTAGCTGGGTGTGGTGGCAGGTGCCTCTCAGCTACTCAGGAGATTGAGGCAGGAGAATCGCTTGAACCCAGGAGGTGGAGGTTGCAGTGAGCCGAGATTGCCCCACTACACTCCAGCCTGGGCAACAGAGCTAGATTCTATCTCAAAAAATAAAAAATAAAAAAAATATTCGCCACCGGGCACAGTGACTTGTGCCTGTAATCCCAGCATTTTGGGAAGCAGAGGCAGGCGGATCACAAGGTCAGGAGTTCAAGACCAGCCTGACCAACATGGAGAAACCCCATCTCTACTAAAAATACAAAAAATTAGCCGGGTGTGGTGGTGCATGCCTGTAATCCCCGCTACTCGGGAGTCTGAGGCAGGAGAATTGCTTGAACCTGGGAGGCAGAGGTTGCAGTGAGCCGAGGTGGTGCCATTGCACTCCAGCCTGGGCAACAAGAGCAAAACTCCATCTCAAA